GAACATCACTTCCACTTCCTCTGTACCTGTATGCTTTGAGAGTATTAAGCCTGTAGGTGTGTTGTTTTATTGGAACAGCATTCCCTACATCCACCTCATGTATTATAATATTAATCCTCCCTATTTATTTCTACATATGTCCGCCTAATGCTGCAACAAATCTTTCAATTCAGTTCTCTGTTCCTGAGACAGATTGCTGACTACCCTATCCCATTCTTCCTCATTATTCAACTTATTATGATGCACGTCAAAATCTGAATCATCTGGCTTTGATTCCTCACTCTGAGTGGCAGTAACTGGTACCTGTTTCTCTGGTTCCCTTTCCCTGCCATAGTAAGATCTCAGCATATTCACCTGACATACTGGATAAAGTTTTTTCCTACCTGGCAACTTTACCAGATAATTCACCTGATTTAACTACTTCTCAATCTGATAGGGATCACTAAACCTTGCTTTGAAGGGATCTCCTACCACTAGTAACAGCACCAATATTTTATCCCCACGGATAAACGTATGAATTTTAGATTTTGTATCTGCTTCTTGCTTTGTTAGATGCGGTGTAACCTTCAAATGTTGTCTAGCTAATCACCTACTCCGTTTAATCTTTCTCTCACCTCAGATACATAATCGAACTGTGAGATCTTTGACTTCGGACCTATCAACTTTTCCTTAATTAATTTTAAAGGCCGGCTTACTTTGTGTCCCAATATGAATTCAAATGGAGTAGACTGAATTGATTCATTTGGAGAATCTCTAATAGCAAACAATATAAATGGGATACCTTTTTCCTAATCATTTGGGTAATCCTGGCAATAAGCCCTCAGCATGGTCTTTAGAGTCTGATGCCACCTTTCCAATGCTCCCTGGGATTCAAGATGGTACACACTTGAGTTCAAGTGTTGGATGCCTAAACTATCCATGACCTCCTTAAATAATTTGGCAGTAAAATTGGACCCTTGGTCTGATTGAATCTCCCTGGGTACTCCATAATGGGTAAAGAAAACAAGCAACTCCTCCACAACCTTTTTTGCCTCGACTTTCCATAATGGAATTTCCTCCAGAAATCTGGTGGACACGTTATTTATGGTTAGCAAATACTGGTTCCCACTTCTGGTTTTATGGAGAGGACCTACACAATCAATCATTACCCGCATGAAAGGTTCTTCAAATGTAGGAATTGGCATTAAATGCGCTGGTTTTATTACTGCCTCTGGCTTTCCTACCATCTGATACGTATGGCAGGTACGGCAAAATTCAACCGCATCTTTATGTAATCCAGGCCAATAGAAATGCTTTTGTGTCTTAGTCTGAGTCTTCCTCACTCCGAGATGACCTCCTACAGGTAATTTGTGTGGTACCTGAAATACTTAGTGTCTGTATGCTACCGGCAACACAATCTGGTGAACTTCCGCCCATTCCTCTTCTGCACTAACCTGCCGAGGTCTCCAGTTCCGCCTTAATATTTTATCTGTAAGGTAATAAAATTCTGGAATACATTCTGATTCCTTTATCGAGTAGGCTTTATGTTATAAATCTTTAATTGTCTCATCTTTTTGTTGTAACTCCATTAGTCTTGCAGAACTAAACACCTCTGTCTGATCCTCTACCTGTTTAAGTTTTTCTGTTATCATTTCGTCAAACAGGGTGTTAGCTAAGTAGACCTCCTTTGTCTCCTTTGTCTTTCTCTTTTGTTTTCCCCGCTTGCTTTAGCCTTTGACAGTGGGTTCTTATTACCACACAATCCTGAAAAGTTCCAGAGTATTTTTCTTTTAACTCCTCAGCTTCTTTGTTTTCCTTTGGCTTCTCCACTACAAGGGGCATCACTCTCACATTTGATCCAGCTAGATAGTTTCCAAGAACAAACTGTATTCTTGGAAGAGACACTTGTTCAGTCACTCCCACTGTCACTTCCCTAGTCTTGATTGGACTTTCTAGCCTTGTCTTACACAGGGGAATGCTAAATCTCTCTCCATTTATTCTACAGATTATCTTTCTCTCAGGCAACATTTCAGAAGGAGTGCAAGTATTTTCAGCTCTTACTATTAGAGACTGACCAGCTCCTGTATCTCTCAATATTTTGACTTCTTTACCATCTCCCCCTGTTCTTCCTAAGTAAACCTTATCACAGAGGTGAAATCTTTTGAGATGGACACTATCTTACTATCTAGCCCGTACCAGGCTGTGCACTCTCCTGCAGTTCCTCAACTTCTCTTGGGATTTCCTTTACTATTTCAGCTAATCTTACTGGTTTAACCTCTTTTAGCACATCCTTTTTCTTAGTGCCTTTCTTAATCCACCGGCACTGTGACTTGGTATGTCCCACCTTATTGCAGTGAAACCACTTTTTCCCAGAGTGCCTTTCTTAAACCACCAGCACTGTGACTTTGTGTGTCCTCCCCTATTACAGTGGAAACGCTCTGAGGCCTTTCGCCTCCTTTTCACCCTCTTGGGTTTTTTTTTCACATGTGGTAAACTGTTCCCAGTGTGACCTACTTCTTGTTTTTCATTGAAGGATCTCCCTTTTTCCCAATTTCTCTTTTCCGAACCTCTTCCTACTTTGGTAACTTTTTGATCCTCAACATAAGTTCTTATCTGGAAGTGAGTTTTTGAACTCCACCAGCTGAATAATCTCTCTCAAGATTCTCAAATGTCTTTTCTATCTTTAATGCTCTCACCCATCTATTGAAGTTGCTATGTTTAATTCTTTCAAACTCAACATAAGTCTGACCTGGTTCTCTCCTTATATTTCTGAATCGTTGTTTATATGCTTCTGGTACCAATTCGTAGGCAGTTAAAATAGCCTGATTTACTTCTTCACATCCTCTTGACACCTCATCTGACAACGATGCTAACACCTGACTAGCTCTGCCTACCAACTTGTTCTGAATTAACATTACCCACATATCCTCTGGCCAGTTCATCTGTTTAGCCAATTTCTCAAAGAAAATGAAAAAGGCTTCTATATCATTTTCATTGAATTTTGGTAATATTTGGGCATATTTCTTTATATCCAACCAGGCTGTTGGCTAAGATGAGTTTGCTCATCATCACTTCTATCTTGTACTTTTATCTCTGTCATTTGAAGTCTTTTTATTTCAAGTTCCAACTTGATCTTTTACAACTTGAACATTTTTTTTCCTTTCTTCACTCAGCTGGGAATTTTCTTTCCCTTTCTTTCTTTTCTGCTTTTAACGGTAATTCAAACTCTCTGACCTTCTTTTCATTCTTTAACTCCAGTTGTCTCATTTGCAATTTAACTTTTTCTAACTCCACAATGCTTGACTGTTTCTCTGATATAACTAAATGGATGGCTAACTCCATTACAATTTCAGCTTTCCTCTTATCCCTCGTTAAACCCAAATTTACCCTGTTTGCTGATGTCTAATAGTATTTCCTTCCTCTGTCCTTCTAAACTTTCTTGACAAATTTGGGAAGCATCCTCAAACTCCAAAACCTCTTTCGCAATGTTCAAAGCCATTTCCCCCACTTTTGATTTAACTAACCACAAGTAACCAAAATTAAGCAGATTTTCTACTTCTCACCTGAGTTTTATTTAAAAATCCAGGACACTAATTCGCAAGTCTGTTTAAATCTGCTGGGACCTTTTGAACCTCAAATCTGTTCAAATGTGTCTAAAACCGTTCAGATCCCATACACAAACCAGCCAGATCCTGGGCTCGAGCCCCCAATCTTTACAGAGCAAAGGTTGAACCTTTCTAAGAATTAAAACTTTACAGCCAATTGATACAAATGTTTCAATTTCAGAACTGTCTGTGCATCTTGCAGCTGCTTGCCGACATTTTTTTTGTGTCCAAGCTTAAGAAAAGTACATCTCCTCTTAAAGGGACTATGCACTCTTTCCCCCCCTCTATCATTTTTACAAACAAATTCTAACATCCTGCTTTCCAATTCACAAGTACTCTACCCAGCTTCACAACACAATGAACCTTGCTTTTATTGGTTTCCCAGAAAACAATGGTTCTTTAGGCACATAACAACACGAACACCTTATCTGTATCAATAAAAGTCCAAACTTTTGTCTTTTTACCTGCTCTAGTTTTCTAGCCTTTCTCCTTTATTGTTTTTTTCCCCTAAAATTAGTACCCCTTCCATCAGCAGATTTGCTATTCCTCCAAATTTATTGTAGATACCAATTCAACCATTTCTCCACCTGTAACTGTTGTGTGAAATATCATTGGTATCTGCCCGAAATGCTGTTTTTTATATCCTTGATACCTGATGCTCTTCTGAATATAGTTTTAGGTTTATAGGTATGCTATTTCTGAATTCTTCCATATAATAATTTCCCTTTTGTCATCAAAAGTTTTCCCTAGCTTCAGTAATGTAAACCACTGATAATACAGTATTTCTTTTTCCCTTGCAAATTACACAACCGTCTGATTAGGTTTCTTTCTTGTAGTCCTAAATTTTAATTGATCAGTTTCAGGTATGATCTCAATAGCATCGAGTATCACCTTTTGACAGTTTCATAAACTACAGATTGTTATTCTAATGTACTATTTTATGTAGTATACAAAAGTATACACTGTACTATAATCACCACTTTTGATGTGGTCCTCTTTACAGTGGAGAGACCAAAAGTAAATTGAATGAGTCTAGTGAACACCCCCTATACAGCTTGCAAACCTGACTCTGTACTTCCAGCCACTTACTATTTTGATTTTCTACCTGCCCCTGACCTCCCACAATTTTCCATTTAAACTCAATGAAACTGAAGGAACCAAATTTAATCTATTTGACTTAGTGTTCCGGTTTCCTCTGATAATGCCACTGAAATCTTACATACCTTCATCTTTTGTTTCTTTAATTATCCCATGACCATGATCTTTTGCCTTGGACCATCATCTCTTTTGTCTTTTAATCACTCTTATTTCACTTGGATCAGATCAGTCCGAATACTTTGCGACTGGTATTGTGTTTTTATTTCTTTACTTTGCTCAAGTATTCTGATGTCAACTTTTGTACTTTTTTTTTTGTAGGAGAGATATTGTTATATCTGCCCTGATATAGTAAAGGAATTCACTAAATACGACACAGATCCTGGGAAGTGGATCAAGCCATACATCGGTATCAATGCTATCAGCAAACGACAATTTTCTGTTGATGTGGGCTATGAAAGGTTCCTGGGACCTGAAATTTTCTTCCATCCAGAGGTAATCAGCAGTATTGACTATAATCCCGCTTTTGTGTGTTTTGGATTTTGTATAATGATTATAAAACAGTTTTTTTTTGAGCCAAGTAGAAATCATATTAAGGCCCTGATCTGGATCTCTGGATTGAAAATTTGATTAATAATAATTGATTCATTTTGTAATTAACTTTCAAGTAAATACTGACCTATCTGTATATATTCCCCACTCTACACCTGCTACTGGAACAAGACATGTTGACATCAAGGAACATGAGGATAGTGTAGGAAGGTTGTGCTGAAGTAGATGCTCAGTCATGATCTAATCGAATAGCAGAGCAGATTCACTGGACTGAATAGCTTATTCCTGTTCCAATGTTCACATGAAATGGATCCCTAAGTAGAAGTAACATTTGCTTGGTGCTAGTAAAGAGAAATTTGTTCTATAGTCTGAAATGACAGTGCTGCGCTGTACAAGAATACTCATTATGGACTAATTAATTGTATCTCTTCACAATGTTGAATCATTCCCACTACAGTTTCTGTGTGGCCAGATGCAGTTTTGTTTTTAGAAATTTTAGAAATTTTGAATTTGATGCTTGAATTAATAATTTCATGATATCCCAAATTGTTGGGGCTTGGGCTCTGCATTATATGCAGCTAGATCTTCATGATGCTTGCAGTAGCTGTTTCTAACATGCCAATTACGGCAATCTATCTTTCTGCCCATTATTGTCTGCTTCCATTGTTGGGAGGCAGATCTTTGCCAGCAGGTTTGAGTCAAGAGAAGGAAAGAACACTTGAGGGAAATAAACTTGCAGGGCTACAAGAATAGAGCAGGGGAATAGGATAAACTAAGTTGCTTTGCAGAGTGGTAAGGATGCAATGCGCTAACAGGCCTCCTTTTGAGCCACATTGATTCTATGACTATAACTTACATTTATATAAACACATCTGTTGGTAAATTTTTTATGGTCTCACAAAACAAAAGCAAAGTACTGCAAATGTTGAAGATTGGAATTAAAAACAGAAAGTCCTGCAGAAACTGAGTAGATCTGACAGAATCTTGTTCTAAACATAGACTTGGTTTGTCTGTACAGCTGCTGCTAGATCTGCTGAGTTTCTCTAGCACTTTCTGCTTTTCTTGCACATGCAGTCACTGGTGGAGTAAGCTGCAGCTGCTACAGTAATAGTTTGCAGCCACATTGGAGTGGACTCGAGTTGCGAGTAGGCAGGATTGGGTAAAGGTGCCAAAATGAAGGACGGATGTTGGTCAAGATAATGGGAGAATTCGACTTTCATGTCAATTTAATGTCAACGATCAGTCACAATACAATTAGTATTCATAAACTTGAGTCACTATCCTTTAAACTTTTGTTATCTGTGAAGTTTTTCGATCTTGGTGTATTTTAATCCTTTCTGAAATCTAAACCATCATTGTTTTAATCCCACCCACCACCACTCCACTAAAATCAGGGCAGGAAACCAATTTCCCCATTCACAACACAGTCTTATGGGCCAGCGTTTCAGCTACCAGGTTTCAGGAAATGCTCAATGCAGGTGAAGATCTGAGTTCAAAAACTGGGGTATGATGGTTTAATTGAATCACCATCCTTCACTGTCAAGTGGAAATGGGAGTTTTAGAGTTAAAAGTGGCTGTGGAAGGGCCAGATTTTCAATGTCTTTGAGTAACGGTTTATCTTTTTTGAACAATATTCTTTCTGCTCAGAAGTGGGATTTTAATTGTCAGATTTATTGAATGTCTATGACATTTTTGGCATGGAAAATTAAATCATTTGCAATTTTGTGAAATGGAATTTCTTGTAGGGAAGACTAAGATCTTGATAGTTGTGGTTTTTCCTTGAGATTAATGGATTCCAGTCATGTTTGATCAATTGGGCATATTTGATCTGTCATGACAGCTGGATTTTCTGTCTTAGACATCCCCTTAAATTCCTGTCCAAACGAAATCTTGAATTTAATCTTCAACAAAGTGATAGACTAAAATTTGTTGTGTTGGACATAAATTGCAAATTCCTTTGTGTGAATATGAAAAGACCTTCAATCTTTATTTCAGTGACAGAATTAGGTCACTTCTGAAATCCAGGCACTTTTCTTATGGGGCACAAACTATGGGCTGATGCCAAATAGAAATTACAAGATTGCTCGCTCTGCTTCTTTATGCCTTTTGACATCTCCTTGATGTTCACCTAGGCCATAATGAACTGGTATCAGCAGTCTGTGGCCACTGAGAGAATACAATATGTGTAGTATTCAAGAAGCTTGTGTCTACAAATAAAGTTAAACTTTTACAAGTGAAAATAAAGTCCTGACAGCTTGATTGTACCATGATTTGCACCTTAATAGTTTGGAACAGCTATGTAGCCTGTCAACATATTAAAGTCATTCAAAATATCACTGATACTTGGAGGCAGGAAACTGCACTGTGCGTGGGCCTTTGAGTGTATGTGCCAAGCTCTGTCTTCCATAGTTCACCAGTGAAAGTGGAAAAGAAGAGTAAATAAATATAAAAATGACAGATGAATGCTTTCATCATACTTTTGTGAAATGTTTGTTACTTCCACTGGGGCTGTGGCCACATATAAAAATTTGTGGACTTTTCCATAATTTTATGAACTATTATTATCAGAGAGGGTTGACCAGCAGTATAACATTTTAATTCGAAATAAAAGTCTCAGCCAGAAGGAATACTCTTACCCTTAGCATTGATGTGTCAGGTTGTCAAGTGTGAGAAGCATTTTTAATTTGAAGCATGAGAAAGATCAAAAAGCACATCCCATTGACCATTCACAGTGGCAACATGCGATCATGCTAAACCAGTCAGTGCTTGCAAGCCTCTGAAAAATAGATCCACCATTAAAAGTGATTCTGCTATTGGAAATCATTTATTAAATAATCTGCACTGTGCTAAGAGTTACACTGGAAGCCAATTTAATATCATCAGTTGATCTCGCAATGTGATGCAATTGTGCGTGCTGGAAGCTGCATATATAAATACACAGTACCCTGTTTTATGTAGGAAGATGGAATTTGATCTTACATTGCATCTTTTTAAAAAGAAAAGGGCATGGAGGCGGCCAATTGCTGTTGCATCTCCATGGCAACACCCTGACCAATCAGTCTACCTGCCTGGTCTGAGAATTAAGGTTGACAGGTAACTGTTTTTACTGTATTGATTAATATAGTCCACCAGTGGTTGTGATGTGGGGCCTACAAACCTGGCAACATACCAGCACTGAAAGTCATATCACATTATTCTTTGTGTGGTAGGCAAATCATCTCTTTTGCTCAACAACAACACTCTGTGAGAGGAGACAACCACTTTACTACAGATTTTGGATTTCAAGACTGAACATTCCTGAGGCACTGTGGGCCATCAGCAGTGACAGAATTTAGCTCAACCTGCAACCATCTGAACCGATGTTAGCCCAACCAATCTGAACCCTCTTCTCATACTATATAAAGTGGCATCCTTTTGTTCAAGACATTTTCTTGCACCATTGTTGTGATGAATGCGAGACAACTTGCTTCAACTTCTTAGATAAGGTGTAGAGCTGGATGAACACAGCAGGCCAAGCAGCATCAGAGGAGCAGGAAAGCTGACGTTTCGGGCCGAGACCCCATGCCCTATGGACATATTACCTTGCTTCAACTTCTTGTCTGTTTTTAGCAGTGTTTAAATTCTGTGCTTCTAAGCAGTTATTTACTAACCAAAGTGTGAAGGCACATTAGGCAGACATACATTATCCAACATACTTGGTGGTCTATGGTGGACATGTGATGCTACTGTTACTTTAAGAGGTTATTTTGTCCTTTTTTTAAAGAAAGGTTGTAAAGCAGAGATGCCAAGCTGAGTAATAGAGTAAACAGTTTGGGACACCTTAGTTTTTTTAACAGCCTGAATGGGTGTGGCCAGCTCTCACAGATTAGGATTTCTATGTTTTGGTTTTCCAGTAGCGTAATAGATATTGGGGTCTCAACAGAGCTGGAAGCTTCAGTGAATGTCTCCTGGCTGTTTCTCTCTCTGAATTTTGTCTTGATACTTTTTCCTCCTGGATAGGAGAACTGCATGTGAGAATCTGTATCTGAATTCTTGTTTTTTCCAAGGGGTGTGTTTATGGGATGCTACTAAATTGCAACAGTTAATTAGTAATAATTACTGTGTCTATTATTCTGTTAAGTTTTCCAGTTTAGTTATTTTAAATTCCTCTTTCTTTGGTTCTATTTTAATTATTGTTTTTAATTAAATTGTTTTGCTTAACGTTGAGCAGTCTGACCAGTCACATTGCATCTGGAACAGATATTTTATATTTGCCTTTAAATTAAGAAAAAGATAGTTTGTAGGCTACCTTCTTAAAATATTTTGAGGTGGTCTAATCTGGTCCATGACAGGCAATAATGGACAAGATCAGGTTTATGTGACGGACGATTTGTTTAACATCTGGTGAATATAAAGATGTTGAAAGTGAATGCAATTTTATGATAGAGGCTCACCACTTCAGTTATTGCAAGCCAGGAACTCCCCCTTAATGTGTTGTTTGAAAGTGATAATTGATAACGTGGCCCAGAAAGAGGAGCTGGCACCCGCTTCTCTGACAGGGACTTGGAGTGCTAGTGGAAGGGTGTTGCTGCTGGTGTCAGAGATTTATCCTGTTGACCACCAAAGGAGACTGCCTTGGTGGAGAGATGGCATTGAGGTCATACTTTCCAAGTGTGCTAGTTTGGGATGTGTTTGAGAGAGTGCAAGAGAAAGGAGCTACAGAAGTGATCAGAAAACTTGATGTTGATAGTCTTCAATTTGACAGGTCGCTTATTTGTTTGTGGCGAGATTGAAGAATGTGACTGAGATGGAGAAATTGAAGAAGATTGTTAGGTGTGAGTTTTGGTGATAGAATTAATTGTGGAAGAATCAGTCAGCAGAAAGACTGAGACCGGTAGGAACGTGTTTTAATGCTTGAAGGCTTGAAGGGTGAACAATGAAGTAAGTGCCAGAAGAGAGGCAAAACTACCACCTCAAGCAGCATAGATTTGAAACAGCTGATGTGTCCCAAGAAAATCCTTTACCATAGTACATTTACTTTGCTGTCATGGCATTAGGCCATTATTTTCACTTGTGACAGCCAAGTAGCCACCTCTGCTCTGTTCTGCTATTTTACAGTAAAGTAGTATCGCTGCCTTACGTGGTCTTAAGTCATGCAACTTTTGTCAATGTCCTTCCAGCAGTTATCTGAAATGTCATGCTCTGTGACAGATAGAGTTCCTGCTCCTTTCACCTGTTTGTGGACATTGACTGGGTCTGAAAAGTTTTATCCAGGACAACAGGGAGAAACAGGGAGAAAGGACTTGCAAATTTGCCTTTGAAGGGCTGCATTATACATTTCACTGCTTAATAATAATAAAAAATTAAGGAGAGGTGATGGCCTAGTAGTATTAGGGCTGGACAGTTATCCAGAGACCCGGCAATGTTCTGGGGACACGAGTTCAAATTCTGCCATGGCAGATGGCTTAATCCCAAAAACCTGGGATTAAGAGTCTAATGATGCCCACAAAATCATTGCTGATTATCAGGGAAATCCTATCTGGCTCACTAGTGCCCTTTAGAGAGGGAAACTGCTATACTTACCTGGTCTGGCCCACATGTGACTCCACACCCATAGCAATGTCATTGACTCTCAACTGCCCTCTGGGCAATTAGGGATGGGTAACAAATAGTGACATAGCCAGTGATGCCCTTATCTTGTAAATGAATTTTAAAAAATGTTGTTTGTTTAAATGAATTGTTAATTGCCTGAGATATGTGAAATAATCATAACTGAAAGAATCACTTGTTTGAGAACAGCTTATACATAATCATGCACATCCGTCATTTGGTTTCTAAGGGGAAACAAAAACCCTTTGTATAAAAATATGGACCATAATCTCTCTGCATTGGGAGATTTCCAAAAATTAAGGAGAGTCACATTGAAAGTAAAGTGAGCTACAAGAAGTTTTAAAAATTCTCCCCAGTTTGAATGCCTTGTGTACTAAATAATCCTGATTTTGATTTGAAGCTCCAATCTTTACATTGCTTACATATGTGTAGAGAGTGGATATGGAACTGTCTGCATGGCCTCATGCTCTCATGAGCTCTCCCTCTCTCACGCACTCACCTTCTTCTCTGGACACACATATACTATCTCCCTTTCTCTGATTGTGTGAGTGCCACATCTTGCTCCCTGGACCCATTCATGCCACTTCTTTCACCTTGGGGTGTATACGTGCTGCCTCCATCTCCCCCACATGCGTGCTTCTCTCTCACTCACTCTCCCTCTCTCACTGTCTGTCTGTCTCTGTCTCACTCTATCACTCAGTCTTTTGTTTTGGAAATCCTTGTGTTACCTGGAAAGATAATTTTTACACCCTGTCCACCGTCTTGCCATCCTTCCTAAAGTGTTTAAGCAATATACAATTATTGACTAAATGCCTGTTGATGTAATCTTGATATACCTATATTTATGAAAACTTGTATCTCATCCTTTTCCTTTGACCAAGGAGGGAGTGATGTGATTTTATGGTTTGAAATTAATTTTGAATGTAGTTCATGTTTTTCAATCTATGTTTGTTGAAAAAAAAAATTTATTTGCTTTTGCAGTTTGCAAATCCGGACTTTATGCAACCTATTTCAGAGGTAGTTGATGAAGTAATACAAAACTGTCCCATAGATGTTAGACGTCCGTTGTATAAGGTAATGCAAATGATGTTCCATTTAAAAATGTGGTACTTTTGCTGTTCCTATGCTAAGTGCTTCAGGAGTCAATTGTAAATCTGGGATATTCTTAAATTGTCGTACAAACTATAATTTTTGAATAACTTCATACTATATTGAAGGCTGTTCCAAAGGCAAACTCCACATGAAATTAATCAATTCCTTTTAGGATATAATTAGAAAACTGGAAAGAATATTGGAGTTCTATATTTGTTTCTGTTGCCATTTTTCATTCTTGTTTATCTCTGCTGAAGGGGATGACAACTTACCACTTATCCACTACCTCTTGTATTATTCAAGTGTGGGCTTTGTTGTGTATTAATAGCCTACTTGACTGGAAGGGGCTGTGGTATCTGTGCCTGGTGACTGTGCACGTATTGCTTCCAGAATGGTTTGTAAGTTAAACACACTGAGCAAGTTTATCATTAGAATTTCTATTTCATGAGCTTGAGAACACTGAGGTCGGCTTACTTGTTACACACTGATTGCACCTTGTGTACGTCAGAATCATTCACCAGATTATCTTGAGAAATAGTTTGGGAAGTCAGCATTTTATACAAATGGTGAAGTTTACAGCCCAGAAGGAGGCCAGTTGATCTACTGTGTGTGCCAGTTCTTTGTGAGTGCAATGACAAACAAATCTGACGAGACTGTGTACTATTCACAACCCTGTATCTTGTCTGCTTCAAACATATATCCAATTTCCCCCGAAAAGATACAGAAGTCTTTGCCTCAACCATTCCCATACCCAAGTAGCCCATTACAGAAAGCAAATTTTCATAATCATTTGTACCACACAAATGTCAGGCAATGACCATCTCTATTGAGAGAAAATCTAACCACTGCCACTTGACATTCAATGATGTTATTGAAGTAACTGCACAAAGGCCAGGTCCCTTCACCAAGTCACCCTTTATTTACTAGTGCACAGTAGACTGGCAGTCGCCAGCCAGCTCTGAATCAGTCGTCAACTGAGGAGATTCTCATCTCCTGATTAAATCTGTCAGACAAGGCTTTCCTGAATGGCCAAGATTAACAACCTCAATCAAGAACCTCGAAGTCAACGAAGTCCATGTGGTCTCAATCCCTCTCCACCAAGTCTGGGGATGTAGGCCTGGTCTTTCGCTTGTAGCTTCTCTTGCAATGTTTTCACCCCAGGTCCAGTTCCTCTGACTAGGACTCGGACACAGGCAGCGTGTACCGGACCATGGCCCACCTCTTGCATCCAGAACTTCTCTGGAGTGTGTCCTCCTCTTCTTCCAGCAACAACAGTATCGAGGCTGCATCCATTTCCGACTGGACACTAAATGGAGGGAGAGCACCTGCGGTTTCTGCAAGGCCTTCTGAGGGGCTAGGTATGTTTTGCTCCTGCTTCATTTGTGAGGTGACAATTTTCAGGTGATCCATGTGTTTGTTCAGGACTGTAACACCTACCTGAACTTTGTAAGTCACAGGACGCGGGTAAGTGGATCTGAGTCCACGAAAGGATCAGCCATGATCTTATTGAATGGCGGAGCAGGCTCGAAGGGCCAGACAGCCTACTCCTGCTCCTAGTTCTTATGTTCTTATGTTCTATGACCTGACCTTGCATCAACCTCGCCTTGTATCCATACAGAGCCATTTCCATGGTTCTGGCACCAAACTTCATCTCCTGACTTAAATTGTCTCTCTCGCTTAGAGGAAGCATGTGGCCGCCATTTGGCATTCCTGCTGTTGTTTACCTTCCTGTTCTCCAGGTCTGAAAATATCATGTTTAACCTGGTACGGAGTCTTATCCTCATCAGCAACTCTGCTGGAGCTATCCCTGTTGTTGCATGTAGGGTGGTCCTATAATCAAACAGGAACTGGGACAGTTTGGTATCAACTGATGCTATAGGCTGCTTCTTTAAGCCTACCTTCAACATTTGGACTGCTCTTTCCGCTAGACAATTGGATGATGGATGGTATGGAGCTGTCTTATGTGCCGAATGCCATTGGACTTTAGGAAATATTTGAAGTTGGTGCTGGTAAATGATGCACCATTGTCTGTGAAGAATATTTCTGGGAGTCTGTGCATTGCGAATGATATTTGCAGCTTCTCAGTTGATATTCCTGAGTTTGCTGAATGAACTTTATGCACGTCCAAGTATTTTGCATGGGTGTTCACAATGACCAGGAACATTGAGCCCATGAAAGGACTGGCATAGTCAACATGCAACCAAGTCCAGGGTTTATCTGGTCATTCCCATGAATGTGGGGGCACTGCTGGTGTAAATGTTTGTCTTTGTTTGCACTCTGGGCACTGCCCCACCAATGCAGCTATCTCGACATCCAACCCTGGCCACCAGACATAGCTTCTTGCCAGCATCTTCATCTTGGAAACCCCTGGTGGAGTTCAGTCAGTATCTGGTGTTGACCTTTTACTCAGAGCAAATCACCCTTAATCTCCACAGTAATATGCCATTCTGTACAGTGATCTGGTCTTGCAGGATCCAAAAAGGTTTCAGTCCTGGTTGCGATGGCCCTACTGTTTCCCCCCATTACCACCAGCTGTTTCAGTTTTGCTAGGACAGGACCTTTTTTGTGTCTACAGTCTGATATTGTCTGTGGTGAGAGGAAGGGTGTTCAGAAAATTTAAAACCAAAATGGACTCTTCCAGGGGAGGCACCACCAAAGGAGTGTAGTGGGAGGTGGCTCAAGGCATCCACTTTAGCCACTTGGCTTCCTGAACGGTGTTCTAACTTGTATGCACTGAGAATAAAGGCCCAACACTGAATTCTATCCAAAACTATGTGGGCACCACCTTGTCTTCCTTCAGTAGCCCGAGCTAGGGTTTGTGATTAGTCACTATGACAAATTCTCACGGTAAACGTACTGGTGGAACTTCCTCACACCAAAGACTACTGCTAAATCTTCCTTCTCTATCTGGGCATACTTGCGTTTTGTGCATCAGCTAAAGTTCAGAACACTACCCCAGTACTGTACAGGGAGGCATTGCATGTCAGTACTACTTCTCACTTCGGATTGTTGTGGGCCAATGCCTTAGATGAAGATAGCTGTTTTTTTCACTTCCTTAAAGGCTACTTCTTGGCTTTGCAACCATTTCCAAGGCTGACCCTTTCTTAATAGCAGGTTTAAGGGTGCCAAGATGGTTATGTTTGAATTTTCCGTAACGTTTCACAAACCCAAGGAAAGACCAAAGCTCTGGTTCAGACATGGGAGCCAGGTGTCTTTTGATCGCCCTCGATTTCTCTTCCAACAGGTATAACCTGGTTCTGTCGATTCTGTAACCCAAGTAAGTCACTTGGGGTGCCTGGAACACACATTTTTCCCTTCTAAGGTGTCTGCCTGCGTGGGAGAAACGTTTAAACACTATGCCCAAGTTCTCCAAGTGCTCTTTATTGGTCTTCCCTGTTATCAGTATGTCATCCAGATAAATAGCAGCTTGGGGAAGCCCTTGTAAAATGTTCTCCATGGTCTGCTGGAAAAGGGTGCAGGCTGATGCTACCCCAAATGGCAGTCTTGTATATTGATATGAACCCTTATGTGTGTTAATTGTGGTGTACTTCTGGGACTCTTCATCCAGTCGCAATTGCAGGTAGGCATGGCTGATTCCCAGCTTTGTAAATGACAGTACCCCTGCCAATTTTGCATTCATATCCTCTATGTGAGGGATCGGATATTTATCCAGCTGTGAGAAGTGGTTTACTGTTTGCTTAAAATCACCACAAAAGGTGAACTGAGTCGTCAGGCTTCACAATCGGTACGACCAGTGCTGCCCATTCTACAAACTGCACTGGTTTGCTGATTCCTTTGCTCTCTAGTCTCCTGATTTCCGCCTCTACTTTTGCCTGCAAGACAAATGGCACTGGGCGGGCCTTGCAACATCTCAGAATTGCTTCCTGGTTTGCATGTAAAGTGCCTTTGGCCCCTTCAATAGTTTCAAGCCCTCCTTGAAATACTCCTGGGTATCACTCGGACTTCACTGAGGCAGCCATTTTCCAATCAAAAAATGTTGAGCTGATCTAGGTGAATCTTTCTCAACCAATTCTGCTCCAGTAGACTCAGGCCCAAACCTTTTACTATCATCAGTGGTAACTGCACAAATTGCTTCTCATAGAATACCAAAACCAAATTTGAAATTGTTCCCCAGTGTATGTTCTCAGTCTGGCTGAGGTCTCGCGCACGCTTAAAAGTTGGAGTCCCAAGCAAATCTTGTTAAAGACAGATTCTGCAACCACAGATACAGTGCACTGGTGTCAACCTCCACGGGAACTGGATGACCATTTAACCAAACCTTTTAATTGGCTGCAATTTGGATGCCATTTAACAATTTAATTGTTCCAACCCATATGTAGGGGAACTTTCCAGGGTGTGCATTCTCCTGTGTGTTGGCCTACATGTTTTCCTACTCAAGTCAGCCTTTGTTGGACTCCTTTGCTGTCTTGAGTCTGCATACCAGCAGCAACTACAATGGCTCGCTGGCTCAGATCCTGAAGAACTCTTAAGCCACAGCCAAGTGGCTAGGCTTTGTTGTAGGGTTCTGCTGTGGGTTGGCCAAGGGTCCTTCTGCTCAGGACTGCCCTGCATGAGGCTCTGTGATTGTAGTGGTGTTCCCCAAGCGCAGTTGGACAGGTGGGGGTGTCCATTTTTATTGGGATGCCCTGCTCCACTTGCTCCAATTTCTAATGACAAGGCCAGCTGCAGTGCCTGTTTGAAGTCCAGTTGGGCTTCGGCTAGTAGGCGCTTCTGCATGGTTATGTATTAATCGTACATACCAAATGGTCTCTCAGCATCTCATTCAGGGTTAACCCAAAATCACATGCCTCTGCCAGTAAGCTTAACCTCATCAGAAATCCCGATACGGATTCCCCCTGTTCTCTAACAGCCGAATAAAACCAATAGTATCTCAGGATTAAAGGAGGCTTGGGATCAAATATATTCCTTAACCAACCCTGTCAACTTTTGGAAGGTTTTAGTGCCTGGTGCCTCTGGGAAAGTTAAGCCCCTTATAACTGAAAGTGCTGCGGGTCCACACACAGTCAGAAGAGTTACTCGTTGCTTTTCATCCGCCCCAATGTCATTTGTCCAGAAAAGATATTGCATTCTTTCTGCGCACTGGGCCCAGTCTTCAACAGCAGAGCAAATAAGCCAAGCTTCCCAAATAGAGGCATGATGCCAGAAATGCTTGTCAGAAGATGACAGTTTCAAGTGAATGTTCTTCAGGCATTTCCTGTTTTCTCCCATTGCCACTGAAATAACTGCACAGAGGTCGGGTCCCTTCACCAAGTCACACTTTATTTACTAGTGCACAGTAGACTGGCAGTGGCCAGCCAGCTCGGAGTCAGTCCTCAGCTGAAGAGATTATCATCTCCTGATTAAATTTGTCAGCCAAGGCTTTCCTGATTGGAGATAGTAGGAACTGCAGATGCTGGAGAATCCGAGACAACAAGGTG